ATTTTGAAGTGTCCCCTGAGCATTCCTTGTCTGGACAGGAACCTGTGGGTAAGACACTTCCCATTGGTTGTTTCTCAACCAGGAAGGAAATAGCTGCTGCTACACAGCTTCAAATTTGCATGGGCCATTCTATGGCTGTTCAGCTCTCAGAGATAGGAAGCCACATGAGTGACAAATCTGAAGAAACTGGCTTTTTCTGAACTCATGTATGAAGTGTAGAGGGGGTCATCCACATAAGTCATTTCTAAAAATCAAACCCGAGGGCGTGGCATGACAGCCTAGTGGCTGTCCTTTGCCTTGCATGCACTGGGATCATATATGGACACTGGTTTGTGCCCTGGGAGTCCCACTTAACATCCACCTCTATGCCCATTGGTGGTGTCCAGAAAAGTGAAGTTCAGAACATGAGAAGGACGCCTGGAGTAGGCATAGCAAATAAATGGACCACTACAGTTTCAGGATCATAATGGACAAGGCAAGAGAGCTGTCATCTTTATACAGAAGCCTTCACAATCTCTAGAACCTACTTTTCACACCTGGTGAAGGGGGCATTCCTAAGGATAGTTCTACCAATTATTCCACCTTGAGGCAGGATATCAGCTGTCCTAATCCTGTGGTGAGGAAGTTCTCAATAGATGGTACATGTCAATCAGTAACACATTCCTATTACTATTCTGATGCTCCAACTTAGTCTTGATTCAGTTTAGGGAGGAAGTGCATCAAAAAGTAGGGACTTAAAGATCAAGGAAAGAGGGTAAGAATAGATTTTCGCTATACCTAGGGACTTAACATCATTGATTAGCATATGGTCAGTGTTGGAGTACTACCCTAAGCATAGGTTCCTGCTAGGTGTAGGGACTTAACACCCTTGATTTTCATATGATCAGAGGCGCAGCTGAGGGAGCAGGAATAGTAAAAGGCACTTTTACTAAGATGTTAACAGCAACATCATCTTCCAAGCTCACATTGATTATAAAAACCACTCCACAGTGGCAGACAATAATTAATTTTAGAAATCTCTGTGGAATTGTCCAGTGTGTATGCAAAGGGAGGTGGAACTGCTTTTCAGGTGGTTGTAGAGACATCCACTGGGCCTTGCCATGCGGCAGGAAATTCCTTGTGGCCTTGTCTGCAATGGAGAAGTTCTCTTCAAATCTTCATGTCTTTCACATCCACTGCATGGACCTCAGCAGCCTGTGGTCTGGGAAAGCTGTTGAGGACACCCCACATGCTTATGACTCTAGACCTGCAGGAGAGACCCAGAAAAAGCTCCTAGTTCTTGGCTGTGAAGCAGCTCAGCTCTGGCAGTTGTGTATTTTTGGGAAGTGAATTAGCATATGGAAGATCTTCCTATGTGTCTCACATTCTTTATGTAAATCTGAATTTCCAATAAATATAAATGCATCTTCACAATAAAAACTCGAACCAAAGTGAATATTTGGTGGTAGCCTGGACTCTGATCCCTCCTGCAATGAAGCATGAAGAAGGAGCCCAGAACTTTGGTCCCATGTCAGGTAGTTGAGATACAGGATCCACTGAAGGAGTTTCAAGTCATGCAGAAAATTGGCCTCTTGTATCAATCCTCCAACAGTTTCCCAATATAAGGACCCAGAGACTTGCTTCTAAAATGAAAATTGATGTGCGAGCAAAAGTGAAAATAGGTAGTTGGTGATTAAAGCCTCTAAAACCTAGAGTTATACTTCCTATCTCTACCCCTCCACCACCTCGTAAAGTACAATCAGTCTGGAGGTATGGCTGGAGCTAGACAGTGACTGGAGGTTACATGGGTGGGTGTGTGTGTTCATGTTTGTGCCGAGGCGTGGGGTGCCAAGGGTCATTTGCACAGGTTTACTACAAACCTTACGGAGTCTTCTCTTTGCTAAGTCCAGCCACACAACTCTTGTACAAGAGCTGGCAGGCTTTGGGCCCGGTGTCATGGCCTCACGGCTAAAGTCCTCACCTTGAATGTGCCGGGATCCCATGTGGGCACCGGTTCTAATCTCCAGCAGCTCCACTTCCCATCTAACTCCCTGCATGTGTCCTGGGAGGGCAGTTGAATACGGCCCAAAGCCTTGGGACCCTGGTCCCGTGTGGGATACCTGGAAGAAGTTCCTGGCTCCTAGCTTTGGATCGGGATAGCATCGGCTGTTGCGCTCAGTTGGAGTGTGAATCATCGGATGGTAGATATTCCTCTCTGTCTAAAATGTCCGTCCTGGACTGCTTTCCCAGGCCACAAGCAGGGAGCTGGATGGGAAGTGGAGCTGCTGGGATTAGAACTGGCGCCCATATGGGATCCCGGGGTATACAAGGCGAGGACTTTAGCCGCTAAGCCACGCCACTGGGTCCTAAACAAAGCTTGTTTAAAGATATATTTTATTTTTTTTATTGGAAAGGCAGATGTACAGAGAGGAGAGACAGAGAGGAAGATCTTCCGTCCAATGATTCACTCCCCAAGTGAGCGCAATGGCCGATGCTATGCCGATCCGAAGCCAGGAGCCTCTTCCGGGTCTCCCACGCGGGTGCAGGGTCCCAAAGCTTTGGGCCATCCTCGACTGCTTTCCTGGGCCACAGGCAGGGAGCTGGATGGGAAGTGGAGGTGCCGGGATTAGAACCGGTGCCTATATGGGATCCCGGGGTGCGCAATATAAGGACCTTAACCTCTGCGCCACCGAATCGGGCCCCTAAATAAATCTTTAAAAAAAAAAAGAGAAAGAGCCGGTAGTCTTTCTCAAGTCCCATATTGTGGGCCAAATCAAATGTTACCAGGAAAGTTCAGTGATTCTTTTAACTTGTATAGAGAAGTAGGAGTGTGGAATCAGGTGGAAGGATGGGAGTCACAGGAATTGGGAGAAAACAGAGGAGTGGGTCCTCTTTTCCACTTATACATCCTGCTTCAGTAACCAAGGGTTGGAACAACAATCAAGAGTTACTAACTGGGTGTCCCTAATTTCAAGGAGCACACCACCACCTAGTTTTCTCTCGAGAAGTGTTTTCCTCTTCCCTCCTCTTCCCCTGGTCATCAGCACTTTGCAAATAAAACTTCTCTGTCTCCAAAAAGATAATTTTAAAAGAATGACTTTGAGATCCAGTTTCTGTATCCACCTCCTGAATGTGATCAACTGGTATTTAGTAGAAACTACACATTTTACTGTCCTCATGTACACTTGCTGTTCCTGGGAGGACCCGAGCCAGATTGGAGTCCATGCTTGGGACCCTAGGTCTAGCCACTATGCCCATGTGGTAAGCTAGGCCTGGGCTTGCCTGGGTTGAAAAGGCTTCACTGTTCCTGGTGGGGATACTGGGAGCAGATGTGTTGGGAACAAGGTAGGCCTAGGCTCCACCCACCTCCAACATCATGAGGTGGGTGGGACTGGGGGTAAGGTGACTGCATAATTTTTTCATGAGTTGGGTTTCTGTGTAGTGTGTGTGTGTGTGTTAGATCATTAAAGAGAAATTGGTGTTATCATTTCCAAATTTTCTATTTTTCCTTCCTGTTTTAGGTCAGGGTTAAATGATATTCAGAGAAGCTATACCAGGCCTCCCAACCGTCCTAGTACTTAAGGATGGGTACTGGGACTCTGAGACCAAACCAGGTGTCAATGTGGCACACTCTCTAAGGTTTCTGTCCAGGTGGTTCTGAAATGAGGTCCATCTCACTGACTCAAGCAAGAGGGAGCCCTTTCAATGTTCATTGGCTGACATGGTTGACCCTAGATTCTCCTTTCCCCCAGATATTTGCTATCTTCATTTGGCTGGGATAGTTATTCAGTCTGTTCTCTCTTTGTTTCTCTTGAATGGCCCTGATGTGCTTTCCAGGTCTTAATGGGCTTCCATCTCCAGGTGGATCCAGGCCAGTTGTCAAATACTCCTTTTCAACTGAGGAGTACTGGTCCTTACAAGACCTGAGCCAGTCGATCCTGCCCCAGTGGAGCCCCACCCTCAGTGCTCACTGAGCTAGCACCACCATGCAGGCATATAAAGTATCCTAGCCAGGTGACCTGAGGCCTGCAGCACCATCTACTCCCAGGACTCACAGACCCAGGACCCATTGCACTGACCAGCCAAGCTTTCAGGCCAGGCAACACCTACAGCTGTTGGGGTTCATAAACTGGGCTCATCATACAGCTGTGCCCAAGGGCCCAGACAAGGCTATCACAGCCCCAGTGGATCTCCTGCATCCAGGGATCATGAGTCCAGCACCAACATGTCCCTGACTGCCATGGCTTGCCTCAACTCATTTTCCACCAGCATGTGTTGCAGCCTGGCTCAGTCTAGTCTTTCCCCAATTCCACTTCATATTGCTGTGTGCTGTGGCCAATCCAAGTACAATCCATCTGGAGGTTGAGCTGGTGCTAGACAGTGGCTGGGGAGTATGTGGGCAGGTGGGTGTGTTCATGTTTTTTCAGAGGCATGTGGTACCTAAGGTCATTTACATGGGTTCAGTACAAACCATGCGGAGTCTTCTCTTTCTTAAATCTACCCTCATACGTCTTGTATAAGAGCCAAAATTCTTTTTCAAGTCCCATATTGTGCACCAATGAAATGTTACCAGGAAAGCTCAGTGGTCCTTTATTGAGCTTAGTATTGAAACAGAAAATGAAAACCAGTTGTAGAAAAAACTTTTACTTGTTAATTGACCAGTTGGACTTGGAAGAGGGTAGGGGGAAAGCAACTCCCAGAAGGGGATCAGAGATAAATGACATCATAGTTCATTTTAAATCCTGTTATCACACAGCAAGCCAGATGAAATGCCATTTGAAAAGGAGCATGCTTCTAATGTCCCTGAGAACAACCTCGAGAGTGAGAAAAATCTCAATCATCTTGACAAGATCCGCATTTGTCAGCAGTCCGTTGAACACAATGGGAAAGAGAAAACTTTCAGTGGGAAAAAGATAGTCCTTATGTGTGAGCATGTTTATAGCAAAGACCCATGTAATCAGCAACCTGTCAGTGTGGGAGAAGCAAACCATGTTGGCTACTATACATCTTGCCTTAGCACCAACCTGAGAACTGACACAGGAGAAAATTTGTGTGTGTCCAGTGAATGTAAAGAAAACATGTACCAGAAGTTGGAACTCATTAGATATCAGATCCTTCAAAGCATGGAGAATCCATATGAATGCAATGAGCCTGGAAAAGCCTTTCACCAGCAATTATCTCTCATTAGGCATCAGAGAATCCACACTGGGGAGAAACCTTATGAATGTAGTGAATGTGGAAAAGCCTTTTCATATAAGTCATATCTAATCAAACATCATCAGAGAATCCACACCGGGGAAAAACCTTATAGATGTAGTGAGTGTGGAAAAGGCTTTTCTTGTAAGTCGCACCTCATTAGACATCAGAGTATCCACACTAGGGAAAAACCTTATGAATGTAATGAGTGTGGTAAAGCTTTTACCAGCCAGTCACACTTGGTTTTTCACCAGAAAAAGCACAGTGGTGAAAAGTCTCATGAATGTAGTGAGTGTGGAAAAGCTTTTGTTCGTAAGTCACAGCTCATTAGTCATCAGCGAATCCACACTGGGGAAAAACCTTATGAATGTAATGAGTGTGGTAAAGCTTTTGTTCATAAGTCACAACTCAAGAGACATCAGAGAATCCACACTGGGGAAAAACCTTATGAATGTAGTGAGTGTGGAAAAACGTTTTCTGAGAAGTCAAACTTTAGATCACATCAGAGAATCCACACAGGTGAAAAACCTTATGAATGCAGTGAGTGTGGAAAAGGCTTTCATTGTAAGACACACCTCAATAAACATCAGAGAATGCACACTGGGGAAAAACCCTATAAATGTAGTGAGTGTGGGAAAGGTTTTCCTTATAAGTCAACCTATACATCACATCAGAGAGTCCACACAGGGGAAAAACCTTATGAATGTAGTGAGTGTGGAAAAAGATTTTCTAGTAAGTCAAACATTAAATCACATCAGAGAATCCACACTGGGGAAAAGCATTATGAATGTAGTGAGTGTGGAAAAGGTTTTTTTCATAGGTCACAGCTCATTAGACATCAGATAATCCACACAGGGGAAATACCTTATGAATGTAGTGAGTGTGGGAAAGCATTTTTTTATAAATTAAAGTTCATTAGGCATCAGAGAGTCCACACAGGGGAAAAACCTTATGAATGTAGTGAGTGTGGAAAAAGATTTTCTGATAAGTCACGCCTCATTGCACATCAGAGAATCCACACAGGGGAAAAACCTTATGAATGTAGTGAATGTGGAAAAAGATTTTCTGATAAGTCAACCATTAGAAAACATCAGAGAATTCACACTGGGGAAAAACCTTATGAATGCAGTGAGTGTGGAAAAGCGTTTACCAACCCATCAGGTTTAGTTCAACATCAGAGGATCCATACTGGGGAAAAACCTTATAAATGTAGTGAGTGTGGAAAAGGTTTTTTTCGTAAGTCATACCTCATTGCACATCAGAGAAAGCACACAGGTGAAAAACTTTGCTAATGTAGTGAGTTGGAAAAGGCTTTCCTTGGAATCCACACCTCATTGCACATCAGAGATTCCACACAGGGTAAAAACCTTATGAATGCAGTGAGTGTGAAAAACTTTTTCTAATAAGTTAAGCATTAGACCACATCAGAATCCACACTGGGGAAAACTTTATGAATGCAGTGAGTGTGGAAAAGGCTTTTCTTGTAATCCATACCCTGTTAGACATCAGAGAAAGCACACAGGTGAAAAACCTTACAAATGTAGTGACTGTGGAAAAGCTTTTACTCAACATTTTGCATGGGTCAGGGGCAGAATAGGCTGAAGCAGTTCATGTCATCCACTGGCAAATCCGTGCACTAATGCACAATACTGAATGCCAAGGTGAGATTACCTGTTCAGGATGTGACTGCAGTGCCCAAACAGCACGTGTGAGAACCAGGAAGGGAGGGGGTGGAGCCAGCAGGGAGAATATGAGGGCTTCCCTTGCTGGATAACTACTTCCACTGGAGAGCGTGAGCTGGGATGATGGCAGACCAGACTAAGCAGCGCTACAACACCTGTGGACCTCATGTGGACTAGATCAGGGAAAATCCAGGCTGGGCTGATTATTCCTACTGTTGCAAACAAAATTAGAGTGGGTGAGGGTTGTTTGGGCATAGCCACAGCATCAGGTTGCAGTAGCTGGTACTGGGGTTATTTCTGTCAAGTCAAACCACAGAACTACCTGGAGAGTGCACAATCCGGGAGTGGGAGAGGCCTGGGACTGAAATAGTGGACTCCTCCCTCTTGGGTTACCACTTCCACGGGAGGGCACGAAAACTAGGACAGGGGTTGGGGTGGCTAGACAGATACCCAACAGCATTTGTTTGGGCTGCATAGTGGAACTGGTTAGAGGGAACAAAGCTTTAATACCCATTGACATGTACGAGAACCGAATGGGATGTTGGACAGACTGGACTACTGCTACATATACTGGCAAACCAGGGTAGGGGGCAGGCCTGGTGAGGGTTATTGCGGGTCGTTCCAACTAGGCTGCAGCTCCCACTGGTTTATGTGAGGGCCGAGTATGTGTTGGACAGAACCCAGCTGGACTGCAACACCCATTGGTTCCAGTAGAAGACAATGCTGGAAACAGAACCAACCCAGCAATTGCAACCACCAGCTGATTGGGGCAATGGACTGCGCCGGGCCCTGTACTTACAAGTACATACAAGAATCTGGTTGGAGAACACCTCAGACAAAGTTTCTTTTGGGATTTCCCCAATCAAATGCTGGACTCGGAACCCTAACCATGAAAAGACAGAGGACAGAACAAGTCAATCAACCATCTCGGCTCTATGTTGGCAATGAAATACTGGGCAAATGGAGACTCTATGATGGACTATGTCAACCAGTGGATTCTTCAAAGACCTCATAGTGCTTGGAGTGGCAAGAATGGCAGCGATTCATAACTGGTGAACCATCAAAACCACTTGAGCAAGAACCTCAGAGCATGCCCTACATCCAGGACCTGGGGAGAGTGGGAAATTGGGCGGGCCTTCTCCCTTAATACCTCCTTTAAAGATGAAGGAACCAATATGGAAATAATAGTCTTACCCACTTTCCTATAGCCCTTGAACCTTTTTACCCTAAATAACTATGTAAAGATTGTAAAAAAATATAATAATAATAAAAGCTTTTACTTAGAAGTCAAATCTTATCAGACATCAGAGGGTTTACTCAGGGGAGAAACCTTATGAATGTAAGGTGTATTTTAAAGCCTTTACTTACCAGACAGGTCATTCCACATCAGAGAATCCACACAGGATAAGAACCTCATGAATGTAATAAGTGGAAAACCCTGTTGCAAGCAGTCGTGTTTTATTAAACAGGATTTGCATGGGAAAAGCATGAATGTATTACATGTGTGTTAAAACTGATGCACAAACATTTTGAGCACAGTGGAAAGCATACATGTTTCAATAATTAGCATATTCACAGAAATGAGCAAGCTTACTGCATTGACTGAAAAATCATTTTTCTGATGTCAATTGTTAGCAGAGTCATGTACCTCAGAACTACAAAAGCATGTGAATAGACAAGCTACCGTAGACCTATTATTATGGTCTGTCAGAGCTTAGAAAATGGATGAAACAAGCATTGGCAAGAGTACGAATACAAAACATTGTAAAAGGGCAATGGATGTTGAAACCTACTTTGAGAGTCTCAGCAAGTGTTGAATAAACATGGAATTTCACTTTATTTCAGCACAGAGGTTATTTTTTGCTAAAATAATTAAGTTGCAAGTTGTATATAATCTGCCTTTGTTTTGAGATGGGAAATGTGAATGCTGCTTTCAGATTTAATGTTGGTAATAAATGTTCAGTGTGCAACACTTGTTTAAAATACCATCTTGGTCATTTACACATTTATCTAATAGAGCTTTTTTTAGAATCTCAAAATAGCACATTTTGTTACAGAATTATATTGGAAACATAGATATGGGCTGATGCATGTGGCAGTTGTAATGACAAAGACCCAGGTTTGAAGGATGAATCTTGTCTAGAGGCAAGATTGTGTTGTGATATCTGGCCAAATGTGGATCCTGTTTGGCCACTATCCTTGAATAATCATTGTCTGAGACTGCCCTTGGATCTCTGCCTTCTTATATCATGCAGGTTGCCATAGGTCTGTATTTGTTTTATTACCTCCCTTATTTTGATTATTTCTTTTTTTCCTAGTTATCTTGAGAATGCTTTGCTGTTGTTTTTCTGTTTTCTTCAATTGTAAGATTAACTGACTTACTTGATGCTTTTCTAGTTTCTTAACACAAGCACTGAGATGAACATTGCTCTTTCCATTGCCTTGATTGTTTCCTGTAAGTTTTGATATGTTGTGTTGATGCCTTCATTTGTGTCAGGCTTTTTAAAAAATCCCCCTTTGATTTTCTCTCTAACCCTTTGCTCATTTAGTAACATTATTCAGCCTCCATGTGTTTGCAAGTTTTCCTAAGCTTTTTGGCTTCTTGGTTTTTCGCCTCACTCCATGATGATCTGAGAAGATGCATGGTTAAATTTGATTTTTAAAAATTTGGTGATACTTTTTTTGTGGCCTATAAAATGGTCAATTTGGGAGATGGTTCCATGCACTGACCAAAAAAGGAAAAAAGTATATTCTCTTCTTTAGAAGTAAAGGCTCAGTAGAAATCAACTAAGTGCATTTTTTCTAAGGTTTGGGTGAGTTGTGTTGTTTCTTTCTGAGTTTCTGTTTTTTAATTAATCAAGTAATTCTTTAATCTGTCCATTGATGTTAATGTGGTATTAACGACACGTACTATGATTGTATTGGAGTCTGTTTCTCCCTTTAAATCCATTAATGTTTGTTTCACACAGCCAGATGGCTTGGCATGTGGTGCATATACATTTATTGTTGTGGCCTCTTCTTGGTGAATGGATCCTTTGTACATTGTATGGTATCCTTCTTCATCTCTTAATGTTTTTCATATTGATGTCTCTGTCATTTGTTACAAGAATGGCTAGCCCTGCAAAATTTTCCTTACCATTCACTTGCAGTATCTTTTTTCATCATTTCACTTTCAATTTCCTCTGATCTTTGTTAGTGAGATGTATCTCCTGTAAGCAGCAGATGGATGGGTTTTGCTTTGTGATGCAGTCTTCCAATCTATGAAGTTTGATTGATGTTTTAAAGCCATTTACTTTTAATATTAATATGGGATAGGTGGCAAACTCCTCCTGACATTTTAGTAATGGGTTGCCCTTCCATTTAGTCTTCTGTTTGCCTTTTAGTGGGATGTTCTCCACTTTTGCCTTTGCTTTGATTCTTTTTCTCTTTCACTAGAACATCTTTGAATATAAGCTGTAGGGCAGGTTTGGATTATTTGAATATATGGAGTTTTTCTTTACTGTGGATGAATTTTTTTTTTTTTTCATTTTCAAAGACAGAGGAGAGCTTTGTAGGATACGTTCTGGACTGACATTTTATTCCCTTTTAGAATCTGGAATGTATCACTCGACTGTGGTGCTTCCTCTGAAAGGTCAGCTGTGAGTTTGACTGGATGACTGGAGTTCCTCTGTAGGTCACTTGGTTTTTCTCACATGCACATCTAAGGATTTTTTTTCCCCCTTATGTTCAACTGCGAGCACTTGGTTATCATGTATCATGGTGATAAACTCTGTTAGGAGTACTGTGCCCCTCCTGGATGTTGTTTGCAAATTCTTTCTCCAGATTAGGAAGTTTTCATTTATTAT